CAGTTAGTACACCATGAATGGAGTAGATCTCCCCACAATGAGCGCCATGATGCCCCACGATGAGATGTGATTGCAGCTGCTCCTGGGCAGGTCTGGCTTCTACACAGAACCGCTCAGCGCCACAGCCCAGACGGCGGAGAACTTTGTGATGGCAAAAGACTAGGCCTTCCGCCACGGCAGGTCTGAGTGCTATCTGGGCTCTGAGGGGGTGACGCCAACCTCTGTAACAGGCCGAGGGCCACAAAAACAATTTATGCTGAAATCAAGCGCATCATGCATCAAACCAGCCATGGTGCATTCCTCTGTCACACGTTTGTCACTTCCTCAGTAGGGCATTCTTTGGTCTGGCACCGTTGCTCATTCACCACGGCTTCAGACCATGGAGCAATCGCTAAGAAGGCATTCAGTGACAAGCGCTGTATCCCTGTCAGGTCTTCAAGACAGACCACGTGTATCACCGACTGCAGGGGGGAGGGGAGCAATAAAGACAACCTTAACAGATCTGAAAGACTGGGGGAAAAATTTTTTTTCATAAAAAGGGGTTTGAATGAAAAAACATCATCTTTTATCCGTGGCTGGGCGGTATGCTGTGCATGGCTATTGTTTCTCGGCTTCAAGGTAGAGGCTGAAATACTGCATTTAAATGACTCACTAGATGCAGTGCGTGTCACAGAGGCTGACACTGGGGATTGTCAAATAATTTTGTTTCAGTTACTGAATTACCTGAAATGTACACAACATTAACGAATGTGGTTCATTTTCTGGGTAGAAGTTACTGTACCAGGAATGAGTGGCAAATGCACTAGCACAACTGGGAATATCATCCTTACATCCCAACCCACCACCTGATCCCGCAAAATCCAATGTGCTAGAAATCTCAAAGGACACAGAACGGCTTTTGTCTGACTCCAGATTCATCAGAATGCACCAGTCCTGTTGTTTATTCTACATGTCACTCCTCTAATAGCTCCAGTAATGAGTATCAGAGCCTCATTAACAGCAGTTCAGCATCCGTCTCATATTTAAATAAGACATACAGACAAATTACGAACAGTCACTGAGGAACTACGGAATTCTACTGTAAAATCTGGAGGTGTTATAAATCCGGAAATACACATCTTTAAAAAAATAAATGAGCTTAGAAATAGTTTCAGTGATAAAATTCACTCTAAAATGAGAACATACTAAAATATCACTGAATATCAGAAAAATGCACGGCTACTAACTCCATCCCACAACTTTTGAGATAATCCAAGATAATATGATTTTCTATTTTAAGAAAATAAAAGCTCAATAATCAGAGTATTCAGACTCAATTTAGAACGAGTCAAGGTACAAAAAGCACCTACACAAGGACAGAACCGGTATCATGTGCCAGGCCAACAGTATAGTTATATTCCAGAACCTAGAGCACATTTTGACAGTATATTTTCATTGCATATTTCACGAGTACAAAAATCCTTCAAAGCAAGAAAAGATAAGGGCTTGAAGTGATAAATCAAACTTGAGAGCACAAAACCGTTAATGACTGTGAATTGTAAAACAAAATTTAAGCCTCAATCTTCTTTGCAGTCAATACCTCAAAGACAGTATATGCATACGGGATTTGCCTGAAATGACATTTACTGTACTGAAATTACTATCAGAAATGATGTGGTTTACATAACACAACACATTCCAGACCTTCAAGAAGGTATGTGATGGGCAGTCTCTGGAGTGCCGTAAGGTGGTGCTTTAATTATGATTTTATTTCAGAGGTGTGAAATGTGCCTTTCAGACACTGATGAACACCTAAGCCTTTACGTTAAATTAAAGGTGTGGTAAATTCAGTGTTTGATGTGGATGATGTCTTGAACTCTGGATTGCATACTGGTATTGTAGTTTTAGTGAGATACCTCACTTCATTTGGAATGCACTGAAAGTTGAGTACTTAAAATGAATTATAAATTACAATCAAAACATAAAAGCATAACGAAACACTTCCAATTCAGATGTGGTGCGCTGTTAAGTACGGTAGACTGTTAGGGAGTTTTTATTTATTGATCCGGCCTACCTCAACTGTGTGACACCACCATACTGCACAGTAGCATTGAGCATTTCATTATGTGTTTTGAGAGAGGGGGTTGCATTGCGTCACAATTGCTTCATTTTTAGGAGAGCTGTCCAAGGTTCTGAACTCCTGATTACTGTACAATTTAATTACCACTGTGTTACAGGCAAAACCTAGTAAATCTAAACTGACTATAGTTATAAATCACTGTCGTGGTCCTGTTACAACAATTTGACTGTCCCCTGCATTTCAGTTCAGAGTGGACACTTTAATAAACATGGGAAGATAACACAACACATTAGAAAACACACGCATGTGAGCTCACAAAGGTTGTTAAAAACAGCGCGTCAGCAAATACCCCTCTCAACAACATCTTTTTGTATGTAAAGCATGTCCTGAATAAGGAATACCCTAATCCAGCATTGCTAGAAGACCTATCACATTCTGCAGCACTGGAGAGCTTATAGAGGTCAAATAAAATGCTATGAATTTTTAAAAATTTAATATACAAACTAAAGGACTAAAGGATCTGGATCTTTGCAAATAGGAACAACAAGGATTGCTGGGAGATTTAAGAGATATCGTGAAGTCATGAAGTCAAGACAGACCTGTGCTCTGGACACACCCTAGAGTCAACCAAACTAGCATGCACTAGTAGAGATGAATTGCAAGAATGCTAAATCAAGAGCCGAATGCACAGGGCTCGGTGTGCATGAAAACGAGTTACAGAGCCATGCCCATCAAGAATGGAAGCCACTAAGGTAGAATGGCCTCCTCATTTCTACGTTCTATGTTTTGCAAGATAGATGTTCAAAAGATTTCTACAATTGCTCTAATTAGGTAATTTTTTTCCTCGGTTTTGGCTGGACTTGTCTTGTCAACATGTGTCAGTAAGCATGGCCGGATTATCTCAAACTAAAAAGAAACATAACTGTTTCTGTTGTAAGTAAACTAGACAACAAATTCACATCCAAAGCTCAAACCAAGCTTGGAAGGCTGGCTTCTGATTTTAATGACGTGATAATATCCTTTCACTAGGATTATTCTGGTGAACACAGGGCTAGAAAATACTGCGGCACTGTCAATGATTGGGCAACACTCACAATTGAAATAAATGCATACTTTCAATTTAAATAAAAGCTAAATTTTTAGCAAATGTAGCATAAATGTAGTAAAAGGGACACTTATTGCCTGACACAGGTTACCGAGCAAGCCATGTAAGCAGTATAAACTTCAGATTTTAAGAACTACTCTTTGCATGGTTCTCTGGTGAACAGGCAGTCAGTACCCCGACCAATACTAACCTAGATGTGTCAGCTCAATTTATTTTTCAATTTAAGACAGGCTAAAATAAAGCTATTCAAAAATCTGTGGCCTCTTGCACAATGAAATATTGAAAGCTACTGGCTGTTACAGTATGTAGTCCTAACCTACATTAGACAAGAACATCACTTTACTTTCAATGAAGGCAGAAGCCAGAGGCAAGGTCAACCAACAGGGATCGCAATGATTGCGTTCTTTATGGTACAATCAACTCAATGGCTAGACAATGAGATTGCGTGACAAATCAATTAATCAATTAACAATATGTAGCACACT